TCAGTAGACCCGATGAGCTGATGTAAATGACCAATTGTATTGAGTTTTGTTTCAGCCTGTGTAATAAATAAAGCTTCAACCAATCGTCTGAAAGCAGCTGACGTATTTTCAGGTACTTTTATGAAATAGAAACAAAAACAGAAAGTTATTGAAATCATTTGCTTTTTTCTTCTCTCTAAAATAGATGAACACTTACAGACAGCAATAATAGTCGCCTGATACAAATCAAGATGAAGATTGGGTGAATTGACATATTTTTCTTCGTGAAAAAATCGATCTATTGCCATTTTTTGTTCAAGACTAAATCGATAACCACTCGGTGGTGTTGATATATCATTGGCATAGGTCAATAGACTTGTGTCCTCAGTGGAACTATGTATTCGAAGTGTATACTATAGGGCAAGAATAATAAAAAAGAATTTTTACTCTAATAGTTCTTTTTCTTCTTGTTGTTCTTCAGTTGTGGTCTTTTTCATTGGAATAAACGACCAATAGTCAGGATTTTCATCGAGAAACCATTGTATCGCTGATGGACAATGAGCTGAATGTTGATAGAGTTTCATGCCATTTTTAACCAGTGTTCTAATCATTTCTAGAGAATATGAAATATGAATTTATTTAAAACGAACTTACTCGAATGAGTTTACTTGATTTCGAATGCGAGATGTATTTTTCTTGCCGAACAGGAATTCTTGTAAGATGCGATTCCCATGTTCTTGATGATCTAAAAAGACAACAAGCGAATAGGATAGAGCACATGAATTTTTTGCAATTGATTTATTTACAAGAGAGACGATCAGCTAACGATAAACTTGTTTCACCAATATAATTCACTCGATGACATGGACATGTAAGAACATAAATAATATTTCTGGTCGTACATGTAGCTGGACAATTGAGAATGGATCGATATCCGTTAATGAAATAATGTTCTTGGCTTGGTCCAAATTGTAGAATAGGTTGTTGTTGACGATAAGTTAATTTATATGATGGATAACATAGACAACAAGATAGTTGCTGACATGGTGTTATTCCATAGCGAACTTGTGGTTCATTTCGACAAAATAAACTTTTATCATTTGTTGCTACGATAGATTGTGCTCCTCGATAGGAACATGTCTTCATATAGAAGAGATCCAC